AAAATCTAAGGGAAAGGCACGGCATTGAAGGTGTTTTTGTGTTGGAAATGAATGTGATTGCATGTGTTCAAGGATAGAATATGGCTTGGGTGATTAATTCATGGGATAGACAGCTAGGGGGGGAACATATGCATGTTGGTGCATGAATTATATAATGAAAAGTGAATGATTAGTGCTCTAGTGTTAGGACAAAGGTGCAGCTGAAATGAAAGGGAATGTGCACGGCATGAATGTGTTTTGGGTGTGTGTGTGTGAATGTTTGGTGAAAATGCATGTGAGTGGTGGGAACAAAGGGGGAAACAAGGCACAAGGGTGCTTGAGTGAATGATTGAATGTGCATGTGGATTTAAAGAATGAGTGGTGGTGTAATGATGAAGTATGCATGTGGAATTGCAAGGGCCACGGCAAAGGGAGAATGTGTATGAATGGAGTTGTGTTGTGTAGGGTTTTAATTGAATTAAAAGCCACGGCAAAGGGAGAATGGGAGAGTATGGTTGAATGATGAAGGAATTAGTGGTGCATGTGCATGTGTTTTAGGTTGTGAAAGCATGTGGATTAGGTGGAAAGAGGTGGGTGTGCATGTGAGTTGAAATGCATATGTTTAAATGGTTGAAATGTGGAGATGTTATGAGTATGATAAGTGATAATTGTATGATTATGATAAGTGATAAGTGAATGATTATGATAAGGAGATGAGTGTATGGTTATGATAAGGAGATGAATGAATGATATGTTAAATGATAAATGAATGATATGTGGTGATGATAAGTGATGATAGGTGGTTTTGATAAGTGATAAGTGAATGGAAGTGAATGATATGATAAGTGAATGATATGTTAAGTGAATGATTGTAAGTGAATGATATGTTAAGTGAATGATATGATAAGTGAATGCTTTAAGTGTTTAAAATAGGGAACAAAGCCTTCCTTGCATGGCAAGGAAGGGAGACACAAGGAAACACACGACAATGTCCTAAGGTTGCAAGGAATGTTGTTTTTGTGTTCTAAAATGCGTAGGAGTCTTCAATGATGCTTAAACATGAGGTCTTTTAGGATTTAACTTTCCTACTTCAAGTCTTTAATTTCGTCCATCCTCTTGGCTCCAAGCATATGATATCCATTCCAATCTCTAATTTGCTCCAAAAGGCTCCAAAAGGCATCCTTTTGCATACCTTGCCCTTAGAACCTAAAAACACACAAAAGAAGCATAAAGGACTAAAATAACTAGAGAAACATAACGTAAATGCACGAGAACAAGCCATTTAAGTCGCATGAATATGCTCCTATCAGCTACCCAAGCTAATCAGAAGAGGTGGAGAACCTATTAAGTTTAGGATTACAATGCAATACGGTCTTTCTCTAATACAATACTCTTGACCACATTGTTTGGTTTGATAGTTTATTCATGTCTACTATCCAATGTGATTCTTTTACTTATACGATTACCTTGAATGTGATTTGAAACGACTTCCTAAATCTCATTTATGCTTTGGCCAGAGATTCTTAATCATATCATAGAGTATTCTCCCTCCAACGGTTTGAAGGTTAAAGATGCCTTATTGTGCATTCACTTGCCTCCATGGCTAAGTGGCTTAACCCCAACTATGACGTGGACACCCTTTGACGGAGTGACTTTGACATAGTCAAAGATAAAGGACCTAACCACAAGAAAACTATGATGCCTCAAGTCAAATGACTACTTTGCATTATCCCAACCATGAGTTCTCATGTGACAGTATGAGAACTCCCCGTTGATCACGTTCATTGGACTCATTCTCTATTAAGCACCTACATGCTTGTCTTGGTGTCAGTTACACCAATGACTCGAGACCAGTCATTCTCCCTAAGAGAAGACATAGCACATACTAATCTTAACGGACTGTCAATGCCTAATTGGCAATTCTATGATCAAGAATATTTAGGATATGTATACGAAAGAGAATGGTCTCATGAATCTAACTACTTTAGATCACATTCTCCCAATTACATATTCCTTGGACTTATCGTTTAAACATATAACATTTATATAAGACAGCTTAAACAATAATCTTTGCCCTTTATATATATTAAACTAGATTAGTTTAACATGTAAAATGTCTATAAAGTATCATCATATGATTGGCTTTTAGGGCACATTTCCAACATAGACCACTCATGGTCACCTTTTCTTGAAGATACCATAACTCATTGATGGTTAACCCCCTAGCCGTAGAACCTACTCAAGTTTGAGAACCCATCATCACAAGCACTTTGAGGAACATTGAACAGGAGCGCATCTCATGGAGCAGATAATCAATATTGTTTATTTTATTAATGTACCTGAATATATGTATATACTCGGCATAAACTTTCATGCACTCATGTGCAAATATTACGATTAATTTAAAACTTTATCATAAATTTTGTGTTTGTATATAATATGTCGCCATACGCAAAAACTCAAAGCCAAATTAGCCAATTGAAAATTATTTGCCCGAGGAATGCACTCAATCGAGCTGATCATCAAACTATCAAAGCTTATGGGCTAATGAGTGAAAAAACGTGCTTTGAAATAGTAATCAAAATGCACAATATAACCGAGAAACAAAATGTCTCTCAAATCCTCTCAAAGGCGAAGATCGAACGGAGGGGCAAATCAAGACACAGGTGGAAAGGTACCAACATTAAGGCACCAAAACTCAAGTGCCAATTCGGATTGCTATCTTTCGTTCTTAGTTTTGCTGCAGATGATACATGAGGAATCTAGTAATTTTACACTTATCACATTTTTCATACTACATTTGTACCACCTTCTTAATAGAGTATGGCCAACCAACGGATATGGGTTTGATCTGTATTAAATAATGGTATGAAAAATGTGATGAAAGTGGCATTTTTGTTCAACAACTAAGACTGCGATGACTGAATTGGTTGAGGCCAGTCTTTGCAGTGATCACAATTGAACGCAGTTCAGAGACTGTTCCCACCCATTCAAACAATCATCACGATATTTATACCATTTTCAACAGTATTAGATTGAATAATACACAAGAGATAAAGAGATGTTAATCTATAATGAAAGTTCAGAAATGGGGGGTGCATGGGAGGCTGCGTTAGGGTGTTTGTGGATGTGGGATTGACCTTTGAGGGTATTTTTGGAAGAAAAGTGGTGAAATTAGAAAATGTTTAAATTTGTAATTTTTAATTGAGTGTAGACAAAAATTGGGGTAAACTTAGATGAAAGGTGGTTATGTGATTGTATTTCTAATGAAAAAAAAAAAGTGGACTTTATTAATTAAAACTTGTGTATGAATATGGGAATTTTCCTTTCTTAATTAATTAAAATCATGTGATGTTATACTAGTACAAAAAACACTTTGCGCGACGCAGGTCTTTCGTCGCGCAAAGTCAAAAACCGTCGCGCAAAACTTAGCTCAACGCACCTTCGTCGCGCACTAACCGTCGCGGCAAGGCAGTGACAGAAGGGGTTTGCGCCACGAAGATTCCCCCTACGTGGCGCAAAGTGGCTTTGCGCGACGTAGAAGGATGCGTCGCGCAAAGTGGCTTAGCGCGACGTAGGGGGATGCGTCGCGCAGAGTGGCTTCGCGCGACGTAGTAATACGTCGCTCAAAGTGTCTTTGCGCGACGCATCCCCTACGTCGCGCAAACACTTTGTGCGACGAAGATTCTACATACGTCGCGCCAACCTCTTTGCGCGACGCACGCTTTTACGTTGCGCGAAGTGGCTTTGCGCGACGTATGGTCGTGCGTCGCGCAAAGCCACTTTGGGTGACGTAGAGTCTTGTGTCGCGCAAAGAGGTTGGCGCGACGAAGATTCTACCTACGTCGCGCAAACCTCTTTTTTTTGTTTTGGTCAAAAAAAATATTTTTTTAATTTTTAATAAATATCTTAATTAAACTCTAAACAATAATTAATTAACCAACGAAAAGTATTTAGTTATAAATATATGAAAATATACATACAAAATGTCCAAACAAAAAAATAAGAAAAAACTACAAGTAGTCTTTTAGGTTTGATACATCAAGCTACTAGGTATCGGTAGGGCAAAGTGGCTCAGAAGTCGAAGGTGTAGGAAGATCAGGTACTGGTAGTGAGATTTGGAGGCCGGACATCTGTATGGCTCGTACAAGGTCTCTCATGTGTCCGGCATAGGCCTTCACCTGCTCGCCCTGGGCCTTAATCTGCTCGCCCTGGGCCCTCATCTGCTTGTCCCGGGCCCTCATTTGCTCACTCTGGACCGCAAGTTGACCCTTTAGGGTTGTCACTTCCTCCTTCAATGCACTGACCTCTCCTGTGTTTGATCTGGAAGAAGAGGCACCCGTCTCACGAACTCGCGCTTTTCCCATACCCCGAACAACTTTGCCAGGACGACGACCGAAGTTTTGATCCATGACATTAGTCAGGATCTGAAAACCTGCATCCTCGGGTATCGTGGCGTCCTCGATCGAGGTCTCCGGGGGAAGTTGTGATGTTGCTTCTTGGAGAACAGTAGTGCGCTGTTCCACCATAGCATCCTGTAATAATAAAGGAAAAAACATATAATGTTTAATAACATAATATAAATAATATTTGAACGATTCATACATATAAGAATAATAACAATTACATATACTTACATGAAGCTGCTTAGCTATCTCATCACCAGGTCGAACGTAAACGTCCTCGAACATGTCGATCTCTGGGAACTTAGAACCCTCCTGAAGAAACAAACATTAAGAAAATTTTATTAATAAATAATAATAAATAAATTGTATAAAATTTCAAAATTAATATACTTTTACCTGACGTCGTGCCTCAAGCCTATATGAAAAGGGCTTCGAACCAGAATGGTGGAGAAGTGTCTTTGAGTCCCGAGCTATCTTGCCAGCAATAGATTTCTTCTGTTAAACACACAATATACATGTTAGTGCGATTATTTAAAATAAATTAATAAAGGAAGCTTAAAAAAATAACTAAAACAATAATAAATTATTATTAAAATATTATGTACATACCACAAATTTTGGGTCCGTAAAATGTTTGCAGAGCCACTCCCAATCCTTCGGCCGGTCCTGCAGCTCGGTTGGGCAACCATGTAGGCGAGCAAACTCCGGATCATCCCATCGCTTAAAATGCGTGTGAAGATAGTTCTTCCAATGTTTGTACCGATTTGCTAAGGTATCATCTAAGTAGGCCATGACCTCAGGGGATATGTCGTCAAGATCAAAATTGACCTACGAATATGAAAAATAATAAAATAATAGTAAGAAATTTAATAATATTAAGATAATATATTTTGGTTTTTAATATTTGTAAACAAAATTAAAAAAATGATAAAGGCTAAAAATTAATATACTAACCGACAAGTTTTCTCGCACTAGTTTCTTCGTCTCCTCGGGAATTTCTGCCCAAGACTCCCACTGCATAGGACAATTTTGTTTAATAACAACACCACAACTACTAGCGACGCTGTTATGCTGCTGTGAGGTAGCCGCTCCACGATGTCGCGGGTCATACTCAATCTTGATCCTGGAGCCGGTCAAACGTACGCTCTGTGCCTCCTTCAACATTCGACTAGGCCCCCTGGTGTTTTTTTTAGCTGGCCAAAAATAATTAAATGGTGAAATCCCTAAGCTTAAATTTACAGAAAATTTGACATAACCTCCCCTAATAGTATAGCATTTCCCAAAACCTTAAAATAGTAATTCACAACCCCCATCACATTGTCACATTCCAGCAAATTTTCACCATCATAAAAATAATAATTTTAAAATGATAAAAGAAAAATACAACGTAGTGATCGAGAATTAGAAAAAACTACCTGGCTGGGAGGCCTCACCCTCGACTCTGGATGCCGAGGAAGTGTGATCAGAAGGCTCCGGCTCGCGGCGGCGTCAGTGAGGCCGTCGTGCACTAAGCGGCTGAACTGACAATGATGATGTCGATGAGACGGGCACCTGGGACGCCATAGGAGTAGCCTCAGTAAGGGGTGTAGGCTCCCCAATCAATGGAGCACTCACGCCTGGAGCAGTAGATGTTGATAATGCAGGAGGCTCATTGGTCACACTCCGACGACGATTGATCAACCGCGACATCTATACACTTTTTGAACCATAAAATTATAACATTAGACACTAATCCTTTCTTGCATTTGAAACTAATCAATTAGCAGCCAACATTCTTAATTTCAAAACATGAGGAAACTACTTATCCATTTTCATAGCCAACAAAAAAAAAGTGCATCAAGTGAAACAAAAAAAAAAGGGTAATATGACACTAGGATTACCAAACATTGTAATCAATCAAAGGTATCAAAACTTCATTAGACTAAATGATCAAAGTACCGTACAACAACAATTTACTTCATACAAGTCATTCAACTAGACACATGCCACAACAAATGAAAAGGTAATCTACTTACCCCTACTTGATTTCTGGAATTGGATCCTTTGGTTTTTCTTTGGTGATAACTCTGTCTCCTACTTCTATCAAATTTTGATTTATATGCAGCACTGCTTTGCTTTTTGGCTTGTGCTTCTCCAAATTTACTCTGTACGGAGGTGGGAATTTTTTTTACAAAAGGACAGGTACATAACTCAAAAGGAAATGTTCAGTTATTACGTAAATATATAGAGCTATATATATATATATATATATATATATATATATATATATATATATCGAGCATTACCAACAAACAGCAGTGGTGCATGAGCTCTTTTCTCCAAAGTTGCTTCCTTCAAAAAACCCAAAACATATCACATAAAGTATCAACGCTATTACTGCTTATTAAAGAAATTAGTCACAACAGGTATCATGTATATCAGTTCTAAATCTATAAGGCATCGGATTTGTAAGCTTTGGTTTCCTATACTTCTCCCACTGATAGTTCTTATTTATACTTTTACTGGATTTGCATCAGTTCTTTTACATTAATAAAATTAGAGGATTGCACATGCTTCTTTTTGGACACCAAAGACAACATTTTTTTTCAGTTATTCTAGTTCATTGTGGTTGAATGGGATTCTAAGCTTCAGAGTTTCGAAAACGGAGAGTTTCAAAAAACCTCAGAGCCAGTACCAATGAGCTTAAACATAGCAGATAAGAGCTAATGAGATAGAGCTAAGCTACTTCACCTCTTCCATAATTCCAAGTCTCTACCCAAGCCTAGACATCCAGACATTGCCCAGATAGGTGTCCCATCTTGACCTGCAAGATTTACACATAATTGCAAAATTGGAAGAGGTTTAAACATGAACAGATTGTAAAACACAAAACTTTATAGCACCAAATTGGGTTGCAAGCAAGCACCAACCAAAAACATTACACCCAGCAGCATCTTGTTGAAAAAATTCAGATCTTTAAATAACTGAAAATTCAGTTTTATTGAATAAGATGGGAAAAACAGAATTCTCCACGGATAATGCCCACTTTATTCTCTGCTGTTTGTTGAAATCTACAGAACAGAGAAAAATATTTAAAAAAAAAAACTGAGAGGATTTATACAGCTACCCTGAATTTAAGTGACTGCCCAGATCTCATTCAACTCTCAGAAAGAATCGAAAATAGTCCATGTTTAATTATGTTATGTGAACAAATGGGGACACCTAATGATGTTTTACCTAATGATGTTATGTGAACAAATGGGGACACTTTATTCTCTGCTGTTTTACCTAATGATGTTATGTGAACAAATGGGGACACCTTGAAAAGGTTAATTTTAAAAAAAAAAAAAAGCTTAATTTGTCCGGGAAAATTTTTTAAAAAAAAAGCTTAATTTTTACATTTGCACCGCCAGAAAATTTAGTAGTTTTGTTTCTGATCTTGTCTCTTCTATTTATTTTCCACACTTTGAGGACAAGCACGTGCAAAGATCTTGTCTCCAATTTGAAGTGATTGGGTTCTTCGTCCGGCTGCAAGACGTAAAAGAAAGCGCTACTTGGGAGGCAACCCAATACAGTGAATAAAGCTTGTTCATTGATTTCCGAGTGATTACAAAAAAAAAAAAAAAAAAACATGGCAGAAAGATGGAGCCTTCACAAGGGTTGTGTACGTGAGGCCCCACAACGTGGAGGCATCGGAGCAGGAGCCATCGGAGCAGGAGCCATCGGAGCGGGAGGCATATGAGCGGGAGGCACCGAAGATAGATCATTCAAGGCCCCAAACCTTGGTGGAACGCTGGATGACCCAGGAAAGAGGTGCCTCTGGAAGAAAGCTGCAAGCCTTTGACGGTCATCAAGCTCATCAAGCTTCCTCTTCATGCCTGTAGAATAATTGTTGGCAAGCACGTGCAAACTTCGGTTCTCGTACTTCAGCTGTTTGATCTCCTGTTTAAGACTCTCCACCTCCGCCATCAAGGATTCAACCTGACGGGAGCGAGCAAGAAGGCGTTGGCCCATGTTGGACACAGAGCCAGCGCACTGAACGCTAAGAGCCAAGGACTCTTGAACGGCCAACTCATCGGACCGTCCAGAAAGCAGCTGACTATCTTTGGGAGTGAGGAGGTTCCGAGCCACTATCGTAGCCGTTGTTGGATCCGTCATCACAGAGTCCTCATCTGTAAGAGGGCCATGAAAAGATAAGAAAGACGGGCACCATACCTTACCCTGATGAGGCGCAACCGGATCATTGCTCAGACTCAAATCTAAGCAAATGTTCGATGGGTTAGATGAGCTAGCCATTTTTCAAGAAGTTAAAAGAGAAGGGGTGGACGGAGTAGATTTTCAAAGGGCCGGAGACGAGTTTCAAGTATGGGAAATCTTCAGAGTGTGTAAGTTGGCGGTGATCGATAGCTCTATAAAAAGCCAAGGCAACGCGTCCACCGATTCAAAAAGCCGGAAGTTCATGCGTAAAGTTCGGCGACGCTCCCTCGGCTTTTCAGAAAACGCGTTCAACACGTGGAGGCCACCATCGCAACTACACGTCTTTAGCCGACAAGCGCAAAGTTCGGCGACGCTTTATCTGCTTTTCAGAAAACGCGTGCAGCTTTATCGAAGAGGCGTCTTCAAAGATCGAAGAGTCATCACTATTCCAAAAAGCCGGATTTGCGGGATCAAAACGTTTGTCGACAAGGGTAAAAGAACAGTACCACCACTTGCTATTGGGAAATCCCTATATATGTCAACTTTCATCTTTTATGGCAAGGCAAACTTGAAGAAAATGCCCAACTCTTCCTCACCTCTGAGGGCGCACTCCCAGCAAAGCCTTTCGAAACATTCAATTCTTTCTTCTTCCCCAAAGATGATACCAGATGCCTGGAGTACAGATGACCCAGGAGGAAGCAACACAACAAATACATGTGCTAATTCATTCACCGCTTTTTCGAAAGCAAAGGTATCTCATATCATCAAGGGCGAAAGCAAAGGTATCTCATATCATGCTCTTTCCCTATCTTTTCCTTTGCCCTTGATATTACTTGCATGGCAAAGTGAAAGAAGCAATCAGCCGGCACTTGGAGTCTACCTGGACTCTATTCCCTGGTTGCTTACCTAGCGTTGCTCTCGAGTAGTCATCTTCAACGGTTGATACACTTCCAGAGAAGGGACCGCTTCTGCAAAGGGGAGCAAGTAAGGCAAAGGAAAATGATACATTGAAGCATGAGGAGACAAGCATATGCTGAGCTATCCTCTAACCCTCTTCAATACAAATTGGAGAGATTGAACAAAGAAACAGATAAGAGGAGGAAGCTCAGACCTTCGGGGGAGACCAAAAGAATCCTGCTGCCCAGTTCAAGAGTAGCACAAAGGAAAATCAACGATCAGAGGAAACCAAAAGAATCTCCAGCTCAGTTCAAGAGTAGCCTGTGGAAAAACTCAAGATGAAGCCTCACCTTTGAGGGCGCACTCCCAGCAAAGCCTCTCGAAATACTCAATTTTTTCTTCTTCCCCAAAGAAGATACCAGATGCCTGGAGCACAGAGCCAGGAGGAAACGGTAGATCGAAGCATGAGGAGACAAGCAACAACTGCATATGCTGAGCTATCCTCTAACCCTCTTTAATACGAATTGGAGAGATTGAACAAAGAAACAGATAAAAGGAGTAAGCTCAGACCTTCGGGGGAGACCAAAAGAATCCTCCAGCCCAGTTCAAGAGTAAGCCTGTGGAATCACCAAGATCATGCCCATATTTCACGCCTTCATTGTATAAGAAAAATGTCAGTCCAAGCACTTGTAGATCAAATGTAATTTTGATTGAGTATTATTCTTTCCACCCAGAATTTCCTAACAATAAAACAAAGTGAATGAGAATATAAAGACACTTCCAAGGCAAACTTCAAAGGCTCACTGAAGAACAATATGCAAAATAGAGTTTGCATGCAAACTTTCTCCAAATTCAATAGCCTGCATCGTAACAGAAATCGAAAGGTAAAAGGAGAGCAAAACGGAAACCGAAAACAGAAGCTCACTTCGCATCAGCGTTTTAGGAAGCAGCAGCTCTAGATTTACCCCTATTCAGCTAAACCGCAAAAACCTATGAGAATCGTTCAAAAACGAAAAAAAACCCGATATATATATATATATAGAAAAAGGAAGTCAGATTTGGGGAAAAATAGAGATGAAAAAAAATAGCAGGAGAAGGAGAGGATGAGACGCTGGAGGAGAAGATGACATCCAACAGAGCAGCAACTTGAACGGAGCTAAAGCGAGTGCAGATTCTGATGAGGGATGTTTTGATGATGCAGGGATTTCGAGGACACTGGATTACCTTGGAATTTCTCCGTTTGTGATTAAGAACACTCGAGAACAACGTTTCAGTTTTCTGAGAAAGAAAACTCCAGAGAAGCAGAGGAAGAAAACTCCAAAACTTAGAAAAATTGAAAAAAAAGCGCCTATTTTTCGCTATGGGGCGCCAAAATTATCAATTCGCGTGACGTAGGTATACAATTCGACGTCACGCAAAGTGGTTTTGAGCGACGATTAAAGCGTCGCGCAAGGTTTTTTTATTTTTTTTTTAAAGTATTAAAAAAATTACCAAAAATGTGACTTTACTCCTTTCAAGTTCAATTTTTATTTCACATAAACCCCACAATAATATATTATTCTAAAAAAAACCCATAATAATTTTTTTTACATATATATCATTCAATTTCTTTAAGTGTTATAAGTACAAAATAAATAAATTAAAATCTACTTAGTAAATACATATACCATTGCACTTGATGGGAAACACATTGTACGAAACTAGTTTCAACGATCCAACCGTCAAACTTGTTTGTATATGCTTCGAGATCGCATACGCCAAAAATAGGAAAAAAAAACATTTAGAGATCAAGTAACGCAACAAAACTTTTCGACGGTTATAAATGAAAAATAACGATTTAACGGTAGTTTTAACTCCGATTTTGATGATTTTTTACAGCTACACTTCTTGACCCTATATGAATACAATGAACTAATTCGATCGTCAATTTAAAGTATTTACACAAGTGGATACCACAAAATCTTATGTTATAGTTAATGAAAGTATTAATAAACTCTAAGTGTTAGTAAATCTACCATTTTGATGGGAAACACATTGTACGAAACTAGTTTCAACGATCCAACCGTCAAACTTGTTTGTATATGCTTCGAGATCGCATACGCCAAAAATAGGAAAAAAAAAAAACATTTAGCGATCAAGTAACGCGACAAAACTTTTCGACGGTTATAAATGAAAAATAACGATTTAACGGTAGTTTAACTCCGATTTTGATGATTTTTTACAGCTACACTCCTTGACCCTATATGAATACAATGAACTAATTCGATCATCAATTTAAAGTATTTACACAAGTGGATACCACAAAATCTTATGTTATAGTTAATGAAAGTATTAATAAACTCTAAGTGTTAGTAAATCTACCATTTTAATGGGAAACACATTGTACGAAACTAGTTTCAACGATCCATCCGTCAAACTTGTTTGTATATGCTTCGAGATCGCATACGCCAAAAATAGGAAAAAAAAAACATTTAGAGATCAAGTAACGCGACAAAACTTTTCGACGGTTATAAATGAAAAATAACGATTTAACGGTAGTTTTAACTCCGATTTTGATGATTTTTTACAGCTACACTCCTTGACCCTATATGAATATAATGAACTAATTCGATCGTCAATTTAAAGTATTTATACTCGGGGAAAGTATTTTTACCGCTTTTTCTGTTGACTTTGCGTGACGCAGGGCTGCGTGAGTCGCGCAAAACAGCTTTGCGCGACGCACGTGCACATACGTCGCGCAAAGCTGTTTTGAGCGACGCCACATACGTCACGCAAAGATGTTTTGTGCGACGTAAGTGCACGTGCGTCGCGCAAAGCTGTTTTGTGCGACTCACGCAGCCCTGCGTCACACAAAGTCATTAGAAAAAGCGGTAAAACTTACTTTCTTTAGCGCCAAAATCTTGCGGGACGCACAAAACGTCGCGCAAATGGCGTTTGCGCGACTGCACTTTGCGCGACGAAGATTGGCGTTGCGCAATACTGTTTTGCGCGACGTAAGGGCACTTACGTTGCACAATACTGTTTTGCGCGACGCCAATCTTCGTCGCGCAAAGTGCAGTCGCGCAAACGCCATTTGCGCGACGTTTTGTGTTTAACGTCACGCAAACATACTTTGCGCGACGCATTTAGTTACGTCGCGCAAGTTTTCGTCGCGCAAACATGTTTTTGTACTAGTATATTATGTGAATTTTCTTTTCTTAGTTAATTAAATGAAAATTAAAAAGTAAAAATTGAATGGTTATATTGTATCAATAAAAAAAATGAAAAATAGAAAATTTTTAATCTATGATCCTCCATAAAACTCGCATGCCTTAGGAGCATGGAGTCTGATTTAGTTTGTCTCTCAAACTGGTGGTGTTCTTTCATGTGTATATATATGTGTGAAGAATTCCTATGGAAAAAAACTGCTAAAATGTCCCAACTGCATGAAACTGAAACTCCTGAAGATAGGGTGGTCGAAATCCTGTCTAGGTTGCCGCCCAAGTCTCTGATGCAATTCAAATGCATACGCAAGTCTTGGTGCACTCTCATCAATAGTCCAAGTTTTGTAGCCAAGCACCTCAACAATTCTATGGACAACAAACTCTCATCCTCCACTTGTATCCTTCTCAACCGTTCTCAGGCTCACATTTTTCCAGACCAGAGTTGGAGACAAGAAGTTTTCTGGTCCACGATTAATCTTTCCATTGATAGTGACGAGCATAGCCTTCATTATGATGTTGAGGACCTAATTATACCGTTTCCTTTGGAAGATCATGATTTTGTACTTATTTTTGGTTACTGCAATGGGATTATTTGTGTAGATGCAGGGAAAAATGTTCTTTTATGCAATCCTGCAACGAGAGAATTTAGGCAACTTCCCGATTCATGCCTTCTTCTACCCCTTCCGAAGGGAAAATTCGAATTGGAAACGACCTTTCAAGCATTGGGATTTGGCTATGACAGCAATTCTAAAGAATACAAGGTTGTGCGAATTATAGAAAATTGTGAGTACTCAGATGATGAGCAAACATTTCATCATCGTATTGCTCTTCCTCACACAGCGGAGGTGTACACCACGGTTGCTAACTCTTGGAAAGAAATCAAGATTGATATATCAAGTCAAACCTATCATTGTTCTTGTTCAGTGTACTTGAAGGGATTTTGTTATTGGTTTGCAAGCGATAGCGAGGAATACATACTTTCATTTTGTTTAGGTGATGAGACATTTCATATAATACAATTGCCTTCTAGGAGAGAATCCGGTTTTACGTTTGATTATATTTTTCTCCAAAATGAATCCCTTGCTTCTTTTTGCTCTCCGTACCGTCCAAGTGAGGATTCTAAATTATTTGAAATATGGGTAATGGATGACTATGATGGAGTTAAGAATTCATGGACAAAACTCCTAACTGTTGGACCCTTTAGAGGTATTGAGTATCCATTGACACTTTGGAAATGTGACGAGCTTCTTATGCTTGCGTCCGATGGACGAGCCACCTCTTATAATTCTAGTACCGGAAATTTGAAGTATCTTCATATTCCTCCTATTCTCAATAAGGTTGTAGATTTTGAAGGTCTTATTTATGTGAAAAGTATTGTTCCACTCAACTGAGTTGAGGGAAAAGTTCAATTTTCTCCTATTCGATTTGTATGAATGATATAAGGCTTGAATTTGCATCTTTTAATTAAATTCACTTTGTGGCATGTGTAATTTTTTTGCTTATCATGGGCTGCATTTAGTTTTGTGCTTTCCATATTTTGTAATGTTATTTTATTTGAACGTGTATGATAACTATTTTCTTCACAGTTAATTAATAATAACAATTCCTTATGTTCTACTTTTTTTTTTTTTTTTTTTTTTTTTTCAAAATTCCCTTCTTAAAAACCTAATAATTTTTAACTCATTTAACATAATCAATTTAATCTTCTAGTGTAGGAGTGCAAACATTTATTTTTTACAGTGCTAAAAGAATATTTATAGCCTTTAGCCCCTAACTATAGTTGTTGAATACGTTAATTTTATATGTGTAATTGAAAAATTTGTGACAATAACGTGCATTAAACTTGAAAAGTACATATGCACATGTTTATAACGTGTATTGTAAATTGTACTTTTAAAAACGTGCAATTTAATGAATCATTAAAACATGTAAAGAAAATGGCACGCATTTCATGAGTTCATCAATTTAAAATAATCAAGAAAAAGAATGAGTTTATACACCAACTAGTATTACTGCACCAAGATATGAGAATACGAACTTTTCCAAGGGCAAGAATGAGACTAATGGGTCTGAGCCTACGTAACCTGCTAATCCAAGGGAGCTAAAGCCATTGTTAAGAGGATTGCCCAACATAGGAGTTATGTGGTGGTCTCGGTGTCTGGATCTGTGTCGAGACCTTCGTCTAGAGCTAATTCTAGTTTAGCTTCTGAGAGGCTCGCCGCTATGAGAGCTAGAAATTGGGTTTATCTGCCAAAAGGCGCTTAAGCCTACTTCTCCCAATGTTGTGCCTGTCCTAGCTACTGAGAATGAGGAAACTGCTCCTTGATGGCAGTTCTGAGAAATCCACCGAGTTTGCTTCTGGAGAGTTCTCTAAAATTTGGGCACTACTCAAGGCTAACCTGCTCGAGGATCTCGATGCTTTCGAGAGTTCATCGACATTTTTGGGAAAGTAGTTTGTAATTCCTTTACGAAGCATCATGCTAGCTTGAGAAGGATTTCTTTGCTTGCTACCATGCAGAAAACTTTAATCATGGCTGCTGAGTCCATGCATCTTGAACAGAATGTGGCTATCTCTACGAATAAAGCCGAGGCGGCGATGGCTAGTTTAAGTTAATTCGGCTGCCAAAAATATTGAGAAGTTGGAGTCTGAGTTTGCCGATTTAAGCAATCCAATGTATTTGCCTCACTTCTATGCAATTGGAAGCCGTTCGCCAAGAAGTCGATAACTTGAAGGTTAGGCTTGTTGCATCTTAAGGACTGCTAAAGGCTGCACATAAAGACATTGGCCCTCAACCTTTTGAAGATCAAGGACCTTGTTCGTGTCAATTCGGACCTTCAGCCTTCTAGCTTCGCTAAGGATTAAGAACTTGTAATTCCTGTCAACGAGATATGTCGTATCTAGAAGGTTGCCAGCGAGTTTAAGTCCAATAAATTGGAGTTGCAGCCCATGTTGTCTACTAGTGAGAACTTGAAAAATGAGTTGGATGAACTGCAAAACGTCCACACTGGCCTTGTTGAAGAGAATAAGTAGTTGAGTAATGAGAAGGCCAGTCATGATGGTGCTCTTGCTCAGGTACAGGCCGACTTCTCCAAGCTAGGCTATGTAGATCATCTCCAGGGTAGGCCATGGGATTATGAGTTTTTTGTGAAGAACTTCGAGACTCTCTCCATTTCACCCGACGACTTACTCGAGTTCTTCTTTAAGGCTACCGTTAATGGGCAGTCAAGGGTCAAGTTGCTCTGGTTGAGGCAGTTGAAGATGAAGTGATGGAAGGTGTCGCTACTGGGAGTGATGCAGTTACAGAAGGCATGGCAACTGGGTTGTCGAGGGTTGTCTAAGCTACTGATGAGTAGTATTCTAACTAGGCTTAGGAATTTTCTTCTTTTCTTTTGCTTAGCTTTAAATTTTTGTAGGCCTTCGAGCCCATTTATCAATTTGCTAGATATTCAAAAGACTGGTTTCTGCGCTTTACTTCATCTTCGTGACTTTACTTTGTCTTGGGAAACTTTTAGCCATAGGAACCGTAGATGAGTTCACGTAGCTACTATGGCATTGAGCTCCGACTTAGGAATTGCAAAACTTTTAACCTTAAGATTGGCAGTCGGACGCACTATTTTTGAAGAAGCAAGCACGTTAGTGTATCCACTATGACGGCAAGTTCTGGCTAAGGCTTGCAAAAATTTTAACCATAGGACCAACAGCCGGACACGCTACTTTTAAAGAAGCATACAAGTCTGCATGGTTATTATGGCCATGAGTCTTGGCTTTGGGGCATTGAGCTGCTGAGTCTGTCATAAGTTGTTACCCCCTGATCATGTGCTAACTATCTAGGCAAAAAAAATCACTAACTAATCACGTCATAAGCATTTAATCATTGAAGATTCGTGGGCAACAATCCAAGGGATCCACTGCACTTTATGTAACCAATCTCATAGGCTGTGTAACTAGTATCACAACACGATAGAGACCATTGTGAACATGAATATTGCTAACTAGTCGTAACAAAAGTGTGCAATTTTCTGTAATTTCATGAGTAGTAACCCAAGCCTACTATGCGTTTGGTAGTTTATAAAACTCATAGGATGCGTAGCATGTCGGCAGCTCATAAAGTCTTATATGAGCATGAAGATTGCTAACTAGTCACATCAAAAGTGTGCAATTGTGTGAGCCTTCGTGGGCAGTTACTCCTAGGAAGCCTGCGAACAAGTATCTGGACCCGTGGGTTGTGTAGCATGTCAGCAGCCTATAAGGTCTCATATGGACGCGGAGATTGCTAACTAGTCGCAGTACAAGTACGCAATTGTATGAATCCTCGTGCGCAGTTGTCCCAGGAGTTTTTGCACTTAAGAATTTACAGAACCCACAAGCTGCGTATCATGTTGATAATTGGTAGAGTTTGTTAAGGAGAGGAATGGTCGCTTAACTTGTCCATGCTGAAGGTAGACAGTTGTAGGGATCCTTCAGGGACAGAACATCAGGGAATGCATTGCATTTATCGCCTCTTCTGGTAAAAAGGCCCAAGTTCCCATAGATTAATCCTGGAGCTTGAAATCCTTCAGTCAACTAAGACTTGAAAAAGACTATTGTGGCTGTTTACCCTCTCCCAGAGGGAGAGCAAACCCCGAAGGTGTGTAGAGAAATTGGTTTACCCTCTCGCACTACAGAGCATGGAAGTCGTTTTGAGCATGCAGTTGTGCCAAGTTATTGATAACTTCTCAAATCTTCAATGAAAATATGTGAAATGTATCAAACTTTGATGGGAGGTAGAAACTACAAAATAACTTGGATAATCCTTGTCCTGCAAGGTCTTGCTCGTCGGAATGCTTGGGTCTTAGAACTTCAGGTGGGAGCCGACCTAAGAGACAATGAGAGTTAGGAACACACCGAGCCCATGGAAGAATTGGAGACCATCGTACTGCCAGAAAAAGACTCAAGTAGGAAAGTCCAAATAGTTACTATTAACCATTGAAGTCCGAGAAAAGCTCATTGAGTTTCTAAAGGCTCAAGCGAGCGTTTTCACTTGGCCTTACTCATATATATTAGGAATATATCCAAGAATCGTCTCCTACAAGAAACGGGTCAAGAGGATGGAGTTTTTGGTTGGGTGCCACTCAATTCTCTCCTTTCCCTCCCTGATCTCCCCTTCCCATTGGGCAGCCTTCTTTCTCTCTCCTCTTCCCATTTGGCCAACCTCCCTCTTTTTTCCTCCTTTTTTTTTTTTTTTTTCTTTTTCGTTTTCTGTTTCTTCCTCTTCCCGATTGGTCTCTTCCCTCCTTCTAACCACAGCCACCACGTGGCTTTTCTACACCAAAGCAAACTCCAATAAATCTAGAGCATTCCAGATTCACGGCAAAAGGACCATTTTGTCCTTATATTAGTTTGTTTCTATTTCATTCATTATAACTCCATTTGGCAAACAATTTTCGCCTACATGCTCGTGGGACTAAGCTCTATCCAAATATGGTAAGAAATAGTTTAAAATATATGAGGATAAAATACATCCTCGTATAATTACGTTAAGCCAACTAAGGCATTTTCGTCTTTTTAACTTATTGATACAAATATCCGTCGTAACTATAAATACATCGTAATTATGAATGCAACTACAAAATATTTATTTTAATATTCAAATCCAGGAACGGATTTTCTCATTTTTCCCATTGAAATTCTCGTAACCATTTATTGATTTATTTTCCTATTTCCTTCACGTATTCATAAACATAAATAATTAATTTATATATTTAAAATTTTCAGGGTATTATCACCCCCCTGCCGGTTAAAATAAATCTCGTCCCCGAGATTTCAACCATCGAGTTATGAAACGAATTAGAACTATTTCCACCATTCATTTTATAGTGAATAAAATCATAACCTCAATCTAGGATTTTATTAAGGCTCCAAAATAAGCAAATCAACGAATAATAATCGTGATTCTTACAACGAATAATAATCGTGATTCTTACAACGAATAATAATCGTGATTCTTACCCACATTCTCAGATTCCTAGCAGTAACCATCGTCGACCAAATAATATCATAATTCAAGCCATAATCATCTGTGGCTAAATAAATATCAAAATTTCAGACCAAAACATTATAATTGGAAAATTAAATATAAAAAATTCTAACCAAAATCAATGGGGTTTCCAATCACACTCCCTGGGTGATGGAAAGAAATTTAAAACCAAATCCGCAACACCACTAACATAAAACCTCATTCTATGATTTCCTTCATTTCCACAATTAAACTAAATTACCCATAGTAAATTTAAAAGCTCCCGGTACTGTTCACTTTTCATTCGTTTTCCTAATTTAGGGAACTTTAATGAAAAGCTCCCGGTACTGTTCACTTTAACGAAAAACCACATTTTTGCACTAAAAAATCAATCC